TTCTCCTCCTTGGTGCTCTTTCTTTTGTACCTTCAGCATCCGAAAAATCTAAAACGGTCTGCTCGAAATTGCTCTGCCAGCTCCTTGAAGAAGATTATAGATTGATCCGCTTGTCTGAAAGGGCAATCCCCAATGTTCTTGCAGGAATTGGCTATGCTTTATCTTCTTCTGTGAACATTTATTTTGTTAGAGTTCTCTGTTGTTTAATGGAATTGTGGGATAAAAGTGATGGTCCTTCTGCTAGTGTGTCTAATGGGCTCATGGTACTGCATCTAATGGAATGGAGTTTTTCAAATTTTATCAATTCCCACTCTACAGACAAGATTGATCTTTTCAGTAGAGAGGTATTGAAGAATACACGACCAACATTCTCTTTGTTTGCTGTAGTCATGGCTGCTGCTGGAGTATTACGAGTCATCAATAGATCTGAACAGAAAGCATTAATGGAGTTTAAGACTTCTGCAGAGGGACGTATCGAGATTATTGCGCATGGTTTAGTTTCTAGTGCCAGAGATGCTGATTATGCTATCGTTGAGCCAAGAAACTCCTTTTTGTTACAGTGTCTATCATTAGCTTTATCTAAAAGTGGTCCATTTTCTTACCAAGCTCATGTGTTTCTATGCCTCACTACAGCATTGCTGACTGAAATCTTCCCCTTGCCACGTATTTATGTCAAAATCCAAGAATCACCTTCTGGAAACTTGGTGAGATTAGTTCTCAATGAGGTCCAGCAACATCTAGACACCATTATTTTTAAGGAAGCAGGGGCCATAACTGGTGTTTTTTGCAATCAGTATGTCTTGGCAGATGAAGAAAACCGAAGTGCTGTAGAGGATATCATATGGAATTACTGTTGGGATGTCTATATGTGGCATCGGCAGGTTGCTTTGATGCTTCGAGATAGGGAGGAAGTGCTATTAGAGAATCTGGAAAAAATTGCTGAATCTGCTTTCTTCATGGTTGTGTTCTTTGCCTTGGCAGTAACAAAGCACAAGTTAGTTTTAGGTGCTCCCCAAGAAATTCAAATGAGACTTTCAGTGAGGATATTGGTTGCATTTTCTTGTATGGAATATTTTCGCAGAATGCGTTTGCCAGAGTATATGGATACGATTAGAGCAGTTGTTACAAGGGTTCAGGAGAATGAATCTGCCTGTGTCTCATTTGTGGAATCTCTTCCATCTTATGATGATATGACAAACCAAGCTGGTTGTGAATTTTTTTCCCCTGCATGTTTGTAATTGTCAGTATGTTTGTTCTATTACAGTCTTTCACAAAACAGTACCTTTTTTCCTTGCAGTACCTTCTAGCTTTCAGAAAATGGAATATTTGTGGACTACTGATGAAGTGCAGACTGCTCGGATATTATTTTATCTGCGAGTAATCCCAACTTGCGTAGAATGTATACCAGCCTCTGTATTCCGCAAGGTGCTGGCTCCAACCATGTTTCTGTATCCTGAATCTGATGGATAGATCTAGGAACAAGTAGGAAAGCTAAACCTGGTTGAATTTATGAAATTTTCTTAATACATTTAACCAGATACATGGGGCATCCAACTGGGAAAGTGTCTAAAGCCTCACACTCAGTGTTTGTCGCTTTCATGTCCTCTGGGAAGGATGGTGACCTAGATGAAAGAGTTACATTAAAGGAGCAACTTGTATTCTATTATGCCAAGAGATCTTTAGAGGTAATAAAAGTTATCAAAGTTAATTGCTGTGATGCTTGAACTTGTTTTCTGATTTAACTGAAAGTTTAGGGATACCCTGGGATTACTCCTTTTGAGGGACTCGCTTCTGGAGTTGTTGCATTGGTTAGACATCTGCCTGCTGGAAGTCCGTCTATATTCTATTGCATCTCCTGTCTCATTGAAAAAGCTGATAGCCTTTGTAGTTCAGTCGATACTACTCCAAAAACTGACTTGTGGAAGAGTTGGGATGGAGAGTTGGAGCCTTTCAAGCAGATGTTGGATTTGCATTTACGTCTCCTTTCTCTTGTTGATATACAGGTAAATGGCAATAATGTTTGACTTCAACTGGGAAACCTAAAGCTAGGCAGTTATAAGTAAATCATAAGGGACTTCGTGCTTTTTATTGATAGCAAATACTCAATATGAGTGCTACTTCACTTTAACGGTTTAACTTCTTGTTTCTTCGCTCATTTGAAAATTTGGGTATTTGGAATAAATTGTAGGAGCTCTTTCTTGAATTCAGATAGAAGCTTTCTAAAATGGAAAAAAGAAAATGGAGAGATGCTTCAACTATGCAAATGCTGATTTGTCTTAGGTTTCCTAGCCATGGTTTATGCCCACTATGTCAACATAATGTACTTGAAATGGCAAATAAAAACATTTTCTTGCTCTCAGGTTCTGCCTAGTTTGATGAGGTTACTGGCGCAGTTGGTCGTTAGATTACCTTCCAATGGCCAGGATATGATTCTCAACGAGTTATATCAACATGTTGCAGAATCGGATGATGTTATACGGAAACCGACATTGGTTTCATGGTTGCAGTCACTGTCTTATCTTTGTTATCAAAATACTAGCAAGAAAACACCAAAAGGGGTTGCACAAGTAATACATGATTCCATGTCAGGGACTACGGACTCATTAAGCATGAATAAAATCAGTGCACGTCTATAAATCTGACTACGGACAATTGAGGTATACTATATATCTGACTCTCATTACTTGTGCTTTCATACTCCTTTAAGCTGCAGCTTGCCTTGGTTTTGGCTCCGGTGAAAATGCTTTGGGCCAAGACAAAGGCAGATCTGTTGAGAAAGTTCTTTTTTTTTTTCTCGATAAAATCTGTTGAGGAAGTTGCTAGACTTGCAATCCACATATTTGGACTGGGTGCATACCCTGTAAGTGTAACACGGGAAATCATCCCATTATTAATAATTATTTACCTTATCAAGAAAATGTAAGTGCAACACGTTAGTCATGATAGATAGTTAGCTGTATGTATTGTAGCTTTAGCCTTCTATACCCAAAGATCATCTGGTCATTCAGCTAACCTATAAATCATCTGAGAGAGAATTTGTGCACTAATTGGAGTTGATTTTACTGCCAGAACAAGTGTGCTCTGATTATTTGGCTTTTCTCCTCATACAAGGAATGATAAATTTTTCGGCCGGTATTTTTGTGAGAGACCAGTGCCGAAGTTATTGCTATTCGGCTTTAAATTTATGTAGAAGTCATTGACTCAAACTGTTAATTCCACCTTGGTGTATTTTTAGTTGAGATAATTTTAGCTTTGGCCTATTTACCTGAAGTTGGTAATATTACCAAAATAAGAGCACGTATCCACCATGAATCATTGGTCACTTGAGGTTTCATGACATGAATAAAACACACAATTGTGGACATTGATTATGCAGGATTAATGCGCACCAGATATTTGTAAGATAAGGTGAATGTGGAAGATTTTGGCTTCTTTAATCTGATGAGAATGCTCATTGTCTGAACTGCATTGACTTGCAATATCGTGCATAAAGGAGTAGTAGGTTTTATCGCATTGTTGGTTATAACTGGTATTACAGGGAGCATTAGGGAAGAATGCTGACTACTGATTGATTTCTCTATGTAGCAAGAAGCAACGTGACAATTACTTACAATTATAAATTTCACACAGGAGTGAGGATTATGGAATGTGTTTCTGAAGTTATATTCTGCATATGCCCTTCATGCCTATGTGTTTCTGAAGTTATATTCTGCATGTGTCCTTCATGCCTATGTTTTCCGTATCCTTTCCATTCTTGAAATTTCGACTCATAATTATCAGGATCTGTTGCTAGTAATATGTTCACCATTTAAATCCAGAGCAAATTCAACATTCAACACTTAGGGATGAGTTCTGAGTGCTGCCTCCAGATCAGTTTCTGTGGACCCATAAACCTGTGTAAAATGCGTTGGCTTCTGCCCGTGGCTGCATCCCTTGAAGATTTACCCTTTGTTCATGAAGACTTGTGTGTGCTTTGAGATGGTATCGACACAAACTTGACCATCAGATTCAGTTCAGCAAGAGGAAGTATGCTGCAGGGTGAAGTGGCGGTTGCTCCTTTATACTAACTTCTGGCTCTCATTATCTCGCCTACTACTTGTTTTACTTGGTATTTATGTCTGGATTGTGAAGCAGCTATGTCATTGCTCATTCCGCAGTGGATAGTGGCCTCTCTTCCTCCAACAAATTAATGCTGGAATAGATTGAAAATGTTTTAATATAGACATCATACAACTTATGGACTATACGGTTTTCTGTTTGATTATTCTGAATTAGGAATATTAGTTTGTTAGCAGAAATTTTTGGCAAACATTATGAAGCGGTTCTTCCTCAGCTCACTCTTGTAGGGGACTGGAGACTTTCAGAGGTGTAGGCTTAATTGGCTTTCACTTGGTGTATATATATATCCCTTTGCTCTTGAATAAATGCCCCAATACCGAATTCAATGTGTTTTGACTCATTTTATTTCGTCTTTCTTCCAATTCTCATATTTGTGTGTGACCATATTTTGGCAAGAATGATATTTTATGATATTTAGTGAAAGTTTAATGATTTTGTTGTTAGAAAAATAAATTTGATGATTTTTCTGCAAGTATATTACTCCATCCATTTAAAAAAGATTATCACTATTTTCTTACTAGTTCGTCTAAAAAAGATTTGTTTATTTTTTATATTTCCTTAATGAGAAATATTTATAGTCACACAAATGCTATGACTTATTTAAAGTCATAAGTTTCAAAAGCTTTTATCTATAAAAATGTTATGGCATGTTTAAGACTTTCAGAGGTGTAGGCTTAATAGGGCATTATAGTGAGATATTTGAAGTTCTTCAACAATTTTGATAACAGGAAGCATTTTGATTTTATAAAGGTTAAGCGTTTTTTTGGTACGGCTGTTTCCCAAAAATAAGTCACTCACCAACCAAAAATGAAAAAAATAAGTGATCATATTATTCATTTACTCCATTTAGCACCAAACACACCCTTAATCAAGAACCAATAATATCTTCATTTCTGTTCACTTTCTTTCTTCTATCTACCAAAAATCCTCTACTTTTTAGTACGGACAATCTTCTATAGCTGCTAAAATCCAGCCATAGGAAGGAGACAAACGGGAGGGATGTGTACATTAGAGAAGAGAGGCAACATCTTCCTCCTAACCTTAACTGGCACTGATGAGCACCGTTTACACCCCAACCTTATTGATTCCCTCGCCGCCGCTCTCCGCCGTCTCCGATCTGAATCAGCTTCTTCCTCTTCCGCTTTGATCACCACAGCCCAAGGAAAATTCTTCTCCAATGGTTACGATCTTAAGTGGGCCTTAGTTGACAAAGCTCGCCCACAACTCATGTCTAAGAAACTCCGCGCTCTTGTCTACGACTTAATCACCTTGCCTATGCCCACAATTGCTGCTGTCACTGGACACGCATCTGCTGCCGGCTTTATCTTCGCCCTTTCGCATGATTATGTTCTTATGCGTAAGGATCGAGGGTTTCTTTATATGAGTGAGCTTGATATTGGGTTTAAGATACCCATTTGGTTTTCGGCTTTGTTGAAGTGTAAAGTTGGGTCGCCGGCGGTTTGGCGTGAGGTGGTGTTGAAATCGGCTAAGATGACGGCTGAGATGGGAGTTGAAATGGGGATCGTGGATTCGGCTCATAGTGGAGCAGAGGAGACTGTGGAGGCAGCTGTGAGGTTAGGTGAAGAATTGGTGAGCAGAAATTGGGATGGGAAAGTGTATGCTGATTGTAGGAAAACTTTGTATGTCGAGCTACTAAATTCTCTTGGTTCTGATGAGACTGTAGGAGATTATGGCAAGGAGGAGGAGCCAAACAAGAATCTCTCAAGGCTCTGACTGATCAGAAGCGGATTCAAAATTTGAAGTTTATGAGTAAGTTAATATTGCAGTAATGATTGGGTTCACGCTCAAATATTTATAGATATTTAGTGGATTTCTT